CTGTAATGAGCCCATTACAGCTGAGCACAAGACAATGAGGTGAAGACAATGTCGCACAAGAAAAAACTTGGACAAGCGACAAAAAGGTGAAATATATACTTCATCAGAGCTGTTTTAAAACAGTATTTTTCAGCTTTACAAGAGAAAATAATTCATGGTTCAAGACTTAAGTCATGGTCATGTGCTGTACGATCATTTGCTCTGTTTCTTACTCACTTACATTGAAGCCTAAATGACAAATTCAAATGTGTGTTTCTGTTTTGCTGTGATCTCCAGCTGCACCAGCAGGTCAGCAGGTCAGAGTTCACCTTTGGTCAGCCAATATAAACACTGCTGTGCTGGGTTTGGAAGAGGAGAATTTATTATTCTAGCATTTTTTAACACTATTTTGAATGAGGAAGGCGTTTATGGACAGCACAGAGTAGTTATCACACTCCGTTAACATGATCAGAAGAAGCTAGATTCTTAAATATAAAGTTATATCTTTTATTACACAAAGCAGTTCAAGTTGATTTGTTACTGCACTGAGTGAAATGAAAACCAAACAAACAACTAAAAAGGTTCAACGAGTGATGCAAAAGAGTTCAGATTTGATAAGTGGATTTGGAAATGGATGTGGATTTCATAAAATGCTAATGAACACCATCCCTAATCACTTTCTATTGCTAGTAGGCTATAAACATCAATTTGAATGCCACTTACATTTACAGGTTAGTACAATAAGACATTTGGGAATACAAAGAAATGTGTGCAGACTTATATTTTAATCAACACAAAAATTAGTTTCAATCAACCATCACACACGCAACACACAAAAGGCAGTGCGGGGAATGCCATACTATCCACTAACTAAAATACACGTGTGTGCAACCTGCATGCTTAAACACAGGCACAAATGGTTTACTGTTGTCAATTACTGGAGTTTCTGCACCCACAGCTTATTGCTCTGCTTGTATCTCAGTGACCCAAAAGGCCAATAATTTGAGTAATCATTAAACTGTCAGCTGAACCATGGCCTCTTCTGTGAAACAACGACCTACATCACAGACTGTGATATGTGAGGTAGAAAAACTGGAAGCATCACAATTTGTTTTCACAAGCACAAAAGATAAAAAGCTGCTGTTTAGTGGAATATGAAATCATAATTTCTGATTAATGGGCTGTTATCTGCTCTTAAAGACAGTGTAATGCACGGGTGTTGTCACAGTGACAATTGTTAACAAGACATCAGATAATACCAAAGGAGAATGGTGTCTGCTTGAGGCTTGTGTAATCATTAGCCTGCAGGAGATGTGATAGTTTCTCACAGCAGATAAGGTTAGCTTGACCTTCTCCAGATGATCTGAGAAAATTCACACAAGTCTTCAGGGTTACCTCTGGGTGAGGTGGACTGTTGTGTGGATATGACTCTCAGTGAATTTGCTCAGTGGATCTTTACCAGAAATGCTCACATCTATGTTGACATCTATAGGTTGCAATCGGTGCCCTGAAGTAGATTCTTCATATTAGACAACTAAATTTGGTTCATAGCTGCGAAAAGGCAGTCAATAATGTCTGAGAGGTGTTGATCATTGATTTACAATATTTCATGCAATATAAGTTAAATTATTATAACTGTATTAACAGTACAGTAAAACCTCTGGCGGGTGACACATTTCTATGGTCTCATGACATCTCTCGCAATCATAGAGTGATATTTTGGACATAACTACATGTGCTTATGGTCATGCAGCAGACTGATATAATGGGTTATTTTTGGTGCTGATACTGACCATATTAAGATTTTTAAACCTCTATTTATACCATTCTAAAGGCAATGTTTTATAAACAGTTGTGTAGTAAATGTTTCACACAGTGATAATTAATGTTTCACAGACAAATTGAAACAATTATATTAAACCATATACTAGCCCATATACTATACTTGTCAGACAGGTTTATTAAAAAGGCCTAAGGTTCACTGCAGCACCTCTGATGGTATTAGGATTTAACAGGTTCGTTAAAACCAAGAGGTAAATATTGGCTTTATACAGGAAAGGGTTAAGGATGTTGCCTGATAGTGAATTCAAACAGAATGTCTCTTTACCGTAAACACAAATTAAACAGTCAAAATCTACGTGTATGATAAAAAAAAGTGGTAATGGCAATGTGAACATCGACAGACCTGCTGCACAGTTGGCTAATTGGTCCCCACACGCTACGACCAGTCATTCATTTCAACCGCCGTTTGAGCTAGCCAAACCGGCTTACGTTTACACATTTGACCGTTAACGTAACACGACGTGACATTACCTAACTACTTTGTTATTAATACAGCAAGGTTACATACTCCCACAATATGAATAAACGGTAACTATAGAGAACACAAGCATACAAACCTACTTGATATTTAACCGTTCATCAACATGTCACTGTTGCCCAACCACCAACTTTCTCAGCTACCGCGTGGAGCAACGTTAAACTGATAACCGGTAAACCTCCGAGCTCGCGGTGACAACGAAACACAAACATTTTAGTCCCTTTCGTGTGAATATCGTTTGAATTCAGTAAGTAGCTAACGCGTCTTACCTTGGATCACCCTTCGCTGTCCAAATACTACTGCTATGGTCCATCATTTGTATTTTCTCGTGGTCAGGCGTAGACGGACCGCCCATTCTCCTTGACGCTAGATTGGATGCCGCCTTCAGGCACCCCGCGTAAACTAGAGTTCGCAGTCACCTCTGCATAAACGAATTTTCGTGCGTTCAGTTGTAAAAAGCATCGCCCCACCTATGAGTTGAATCGTTTTGGTTAAAAGCACTTACTTAGGCCATGTAATAATGGTTGATTTTCTTAGTTAGTGTTTGCTTTAACCCTGTCATTATGTGAGACAGAAAACAGAGGAGTCAAGTCACTGTACGTTTTCCTGTCATTGCAATTACATAGTCCACACCAGTATTTGGACAGTTACATATTTTTTGTTCTTTAGGCTATTCAGTATGAATTACAATAATGGATACTACATCAAAATGATAGTTTGGATCCAACTGTTTCAACACACAGTGACCAAATTGCAAGTGTTGTGGACACTTGGCCACTCTTGTGCAACTGTCTTTCCAATGTTAGTTCATGCACAAAAGAGCTCATGTGGCTCAGACAGTTGCCATTAGATTGAGGTAGAACTGTCTGTCAGTATGAGGAGTAAAGAAGTGACCATGCACGTGTAGTCGATAATAATGAGGCTCAAAAAAAGCAAAATTATGTTAGAGAAATATCAAGCTTTGCCAAAATCAACAGCTGGGTAAAAAAGAAGGTGCGCAGGGGAAAACTAGAAAAGACCTGGTAGACTGACTCAATTGCATGATGAAGAAAAACCTCTTTATGACTCTTTATGACTGGTTCTGTCACGGCTTGGGTATGTATGGCTGCCAATGGAACTGACTCACCGGCATTTATTGATGATTTCACTGCTGATGGAAACAACAGGATCAATGCAGAGATTTACAGGAGCATTATGTGAGCTCAGATTCACCCATTCATTGCATTAAAACTCATTAGACAACATTTCATCATTCACCTGAGATGCCAATGAGATTTCATGGAGGTTAAATATTGACTGGCTGAGTCGAGTGATCAAACATTGAACTGAATATGTTGAAGACCAGATTAAAGGCAGAGGCCCCACAACATGCATGAGGTGAAGGTTGCTGCAGTGAAGGCCTGGGGGGGCATCACCAGAGAAGAAACAAAGCATCTGCTGATGTTTATGGGTCAAAGACCTCAGTCAGTCATTGACAGCTAAGGAATTTTCACAAAATATTAAATATGATGATTTTGTTTGGCTTCACATGTATCTACTAACATAAACCTATGAAAGCTGAGACTTTGCACTTTAATGTAGCATCCATTGTTTTTATTTCAAATGTAATATACTGAAGAATTAAAACGAGTCACTGTCCTAATACTTCAGGTCTGGACTGTAGGTTTTGACATTAGTTGACGTCTTCCATCATAATTACGACCTTTCCTACGTCACTGAAGGCAGCACAACACGTGCTTTGGCACTCCCAATCATATTTAATTGGAACAAGGATTTGTGAGCGCAAGTTATCCTAAAGTTATTGAAGGTGATATTAAAACGCTGCAGCTGAGTCACTCGAGATTATGTCAGCGGTGCCATTGTTTTGTGTGTGCAGTGAAAACAGGAACCCGGTTCTCCGGTGACGCCAGTCCACGGCTGCGCTGGGACTGAGGAAATCGTCATCGTGTTCTAAATTAGCACAACAGCTGCTGATTGATTTAATAGATACAGTGAAAGTGTAGCTCCGTCACCCCCGCATCACACAGAAACACCGTCTGTTTCTTACCTCTTCTCCTCTACGTCCAGAGCAAGTGAGAGCGCATTTTTTTTGACGGGGATATTCTCCGGCGCGCACATCTGTCCAGCGGCAAACATTCTCATCCTGTTCAGAAAATACATCGGTGACTTTCATGGAGCATCCCTGACGCCATCCTCCATTTCCCCCAGTGCGCATTCGTGTGAGCGCAGCCGCATAGGTCGCCACATCTCTTCCCCCTCCTCCAGCTGATGACTCGTGTCTCATTGAATGAATAGTGACAACAGTGTACCACAGGGGGGGGGAAACAATATCTACTCAACAATGTAACCCCCTCAGCTTCAACTGAATATACAGAGCTGTGCAAAAGTTTGAGGCACATATTTAGGGAGATATTTACAAGATCTACGATTCTTGTTTCCTGCTGTATAATAGACACCTGGTTCCACGGCCCGAATCTGGCCCATATACAGCATGATACCTCCACATCTGGATCAATTCTGGTGCACATAAAGAAAATGTTCTGGCTGTCAGACAATACAGGAGGATAACAGCCAGAATCTGCCCAAACGTGAAAGTATATGGGCCAGACTCCACTTGGTGCCGTTTTAAAAGGATGGTCTTCCTCTCATTGTGTATCAAATATTGTAGCTTTCACTGCAAAAGTACTGAATATTATTGTTTATTGTAAAAACAAAGTGTACAACAGTCAATCAATCAGTGAATCAGTGTTAAACAGATTTTTTTTTACCCCTTTTCACATTGAAACCTATTGACTGCAGTAAATGAATTTGCTGTAGATGGGCTGGTGGCTCCTGCAGGTAGGACAACTCATCCTAATTAATCAATTTCCTGTCCTTGTATATGTAGCAAGTATTGATCCGTTCCTCTGACAACCTGAGGAATATTACATGTACTAATTAAACATACTTTAACATACAGCATTTTCACCATAGAGCTGCTTCCATCTGTCCACTGTCAGGGGCACCACGTTATATATATATATTTTTTTTATAAAACATGAGCACAAAACAAAAACAACATGGTTAAGGAAAAGACTCCACTTTTCTGATATCTCCCAGTGTCCAGAGAATGTAACCAGAGAATGTGTGTACAGGGTGAAGCCCACGAGCTTCTCTGCCAATGAAACAAATTTTAAATATTTTGTTGTCAGTGGCGTTTGCTCCTCAGGAAGTACAGCATCCTGTAAGATGCTGCTGGGTGTCCATCTTGCAAGCGTTTCTCCTCAGTTCAGCTGTCTGATGATAGTGTTAATGTCCGAACCACGAAATCCAGGGTTTCCCAGGTCCTTCAGGAGCCCAGCTTTATCCCTGGCGGCGTGACGAGCCACTGACAGCTTGAAAGGCAGGAGGAAGTTGTTGGTTGCCCGGAAGCTCTTACCGACTGAGTAGATCTCGTGGATCAGGTCCTCCAGACAGATGATGCCGTGTTTACCTGAGGAACAAGAGGGAGGGAGGTAAGTGATGGGATGGATGGCGGCGTGGAAAGATTTTTATGGACCGTCCTGTGACAGAAACATCCAACACTGTTGAACTGAGCCTTCAACGTGCTCACTCTGAAATGTCCAGGTGAAAATGTGGTCTTGTGTTTGAGACGTGCAAGTGCCAACACAACAGGCGGAAATATACTACTACTATATACTATAGTCTTTTCAATTTCCACAGTAAATGACTTATCACTTTGGCATGCTGGTTTCACAGTTTACTCAGAGTTATTTAAATCCACCACATTAATAGTAATGCGTGGGGCACCCAAGTGGCCTAAAGATGCTTTCAGACAATGAGGGCTTTCTGCTGCTTCCTCCGTTGTTTTCAATGTAAACACGACTGCAGGGAGCCCTTTGCTGCTGCTGCTGCTGCCAAGTTCATGATGGTTCAACCTTTTCTACTTTCCACCATGGCTCGTTGTGTGACCGTGGCAACCACAGAAACCACAGCGAGTGAAATGATACAGAAGCTGATTTTACTGGTGGTCCCCCCTGAAATCCTCTCTTTGTTTAGGTGCTTTAATGAGAGATTAACAGTATTACATTACATTGTTTCCAACTTTTCAATCTCGGCATTATAATATGCTGTGGTGTTTTATACCTTTATACCCATACCTTCAACTGTGTGAGCACACATTTTGGCTACATCCACACTAATACATTTTAGTTCTAAACACACATGGTGCCTTTTAGTTTGAAAACTCCAGGGTTGTGTTGTAGTCTGGACGGCAGAAACAGAGACTTTTGGAAACGATGACGTAGACTCACGTTTGCTTCCTGATTGGCTCTTATCAGCCTCGAGAACCAGTGGTGAATACAACACGGATAATGAATTTGCATTACTTTCCTTGTTGTCATGGCTAGCAGCTGTTGTGTAGTTAAATTTTGCATCTTTGCTGTTCCTCAAACTTTCTGCAACTAACCAACTGCAGAAAATTTGCATGCACGCGTTGGTGTTGTTCCCTGCTATCATTGTGCTGTGGCTCCATCACACTGCTGAAAACACTTACCCATGTGCTGCTCAATGAAGGCGTTGTCTGTGAGTGGGACTCTCCTCCTGCCTATCCTGGTCTGTCCTCTCTTCAGAATGAGCTCACGAACAGACTTCAAGTTGGGAAACCTGTTTGCAAGATTACAAAACCTTTTAAATATGCAACAACACAAATTTAATCTAAAGTTTGATTTACTAAAGCACAACAGTCAGAATCACTCACCCCCAGGCCACATAGGGCTCCACCACCTTCATCATCGCTACAGAGGTCTTGTTGATTTTGACGAAGGCCCCACTGAAGATCTTCCTCAGCCTCAACATCTGGATCACCTTCATCACTTTGGGGCTGACACCTTTAATCCTTGGAGGAAAGGATAAGCAATGTTTATCCAACTGTGACTGTGTGTTTTTAGAATGTCATTGGTGTAATAAAGCAAAAACACATGTCAGACTTATGAACTGGACCCCGACACGTTTTAGACTGTGAAGCAGAAAAATGGTTCTTCTTCATTCAGTTTGAATTAAAGAAGCTATGTGCAAGTTTCCTTGAGCATATACATACAAAAAAAACAGTGAGGTGTCTCCCAAAGGTTGCTTCCTGTTTACTCATTCCACCTGTACTGACTTTACATACATTATGGATAAGTTAAAGGGGGATGTAGATTATCTACACTGCCTACAAAGATACCAAGTTTACCATTAATGTTCTTAAGAGTTACTGAACTCCTCTGCACAGATGGAAGTAATCATTTACAACCACTTCCAGCAATTGCTAGCATACCTGTTTACATGACCATGAATATGAAGGGGGAATTTTTATTTCAAAGCCTGTGTCAAACACTCACTCTCTGATGCGGACAGCAAAGGCTAGCTTATTCTTAGCAGGAGGCAGAGGGGCAGGCGGCCTGTGCTGTGTTCTGCGGATGCGAGTTTCATCACGATGCTTCTTGTGGCTGTCTTTCAAGAAGTCTTCCAAACGCTTGAATTTCAATGGTTTGCCTTTCGATACCTGGAATGATATTAAAATACATACATAAATATACAGCATGTTCAGATGGTTAGACTCAAGTCCAGTCTTGTCAGTTCAGAGGATATGCATGATTTAGCAATTCTTTTATTTTTGGCTGAAATGAAAATGGATCACTTCCTCGCATACAAATATTCTAACATTAGTATTGACACACACAACAGATGTGGCAGCCACAAAATGTTCTACAACACTAGATTTTCACATGTGAGTGGTTGAACCATTACAGAAGCTCCTTGCTGTTATTTTCTTCAAAACTATCAAACTCTGGTTGTAGCTTTGCTTGAAACGCCTCATCAAGACGCTGGATTGTCTATGTTTGGCATCAAGTCTACATCCAGACCAAATGCATTCATCTGTACTTGTCTTTTTTTTTTTTTTTTAATAAACCAAAGGGAAAACGTCGTCACTCACCTTTCTCTTATCAAGAAGTGCAAGCTTGGCTTGTGTGGCTTTAATGGCCTGGTAAGCTTTCCTCTTCTTCAGTAGATACTCAGGAACTAACTTGATCACCTTTTGAGATCTGGTAACACGAGCATACAAAAACACGGTCAGCTTTTGACAAACACATGAAATAATCAGCAAGTGGCTGCTGTTCATCAAGTTCATCTTACTATCCTAAAATAAACTTTATGACTTCTTGCTCCCATGAAACACGTTAAAGAAAGCTGCCATCTCTGTCCAGAACCAATTAGCTGCATTCAGCTTCAGCTATCCAGTTTACTAACTTTGACGCTTTGACAGATTTGAGTTCGTACTGCGTGAAAATGTCATTTAATCATAACACATAAAAAACATACAGCACATAAGCCGTCTGCTACACGACTGCCATTTTAATTTCAAATTAATAGTTTCAAATATTTTTCAAAATATCACGCTAGCGGTGTGTCGGTGAAGGTACACTCTGTCCCATGTGAAATTAGGCTCTGTACAATCTCATGTTTCTACCTCTAATCCTCTCAATAGGGGTCGAGACCGAATAAATTAAACTTGTATTTATTGTTCAGAGTCGAAACAATATAGATGTACGTGAAGAAAGCACGGATGGACTTAGATAAAGGTATATAAACAAATACATACTCAGCCTCCGCCATGGTGCAATCTGAAGACGTGTCGTCGCTGAGATATGACGTCAAGGGTCCTCGTGTTGTGGGCGGTTTCAGGTTGCCACCGGCGCTCAACGTGGGCGACTAAATGGCACCATCTGGTGGCGGAAGTCTAGAAATCATATTACAGCCGCACATTCGGAATATAAATAAATATATACTTAAGAAATAAGGATGAGCATTGCAAATTGACGTGTTAGCGTAGTATACGACAAACTCATAAAAAAAGTATAAAAATAATATTGTCCCCTATAAACAATATCAAGCTGTTAACACGTAAGAGCTTTTGTTAGAACTTTGATGATCTAGAACTCACCATGAGAACGTTAAGTTGTGACATCATCACTGTTGACCTCTGACATCATAACGTCACTGGAACCTGTACTTTCAGAAACTCTTAATTTCCCTCCAGCAGCCTGGACTGAGCACCGTCTCTGCCTTCAACACACACCTTTTGTAAACCATTTGTTATTAGATGTTAACATATCTCCTGTATATCTTTGTCTCCTCATTATAACGTGAACAATTGTATCCGACGTGTCTTCGGCTCTACAGCAACGTTTATTGTTCAACCTCAGCTGTGAAATACAAACTGCTCTTTGTCACTGTTAAGACTCTTCTTAGAGCTGAGATGAACCGACAAAGACACCAGGTAAGATTTTCTCTTTTCACCTGGAGAAACACTTATATCTAGGACTGTGCCTCTCTTGTCCAGCCCACTTTTTTCCCTGCTATTTATTCAAATTTTGTCAGTTTCTTGGGCAGAAATGTGCCATTTTTTCTCTCCTTAAATGCAGAAACACATTAGACAGGCAGATACTCCTGTGTCTCTAATCAATGGATTAAAAATGGAGAAAAGATAAATAACTAACCAAGCACACATGGAAAATTAGGTTGAATTGTTTAAATTGCATTTTAATTTTCAGATTTGAATTTGAAACATTTGAATATTGTCCACTGTACAGCAGGGTGTGAGAGTGAAAATTAAACATCAAAACAGCTTTTCCATTTTCATTTTAATACTGTCATAGAGCCTCAATGAATTATTGCATTTTCATTTGAATTTTTCCTCGAATAAAATGCACATATGTGGAAAATAATAATATTAATGTGGAATTACATTTTCATTTATCATTTGAATATAGTCCCCTGTAGGCTTCCATAGTCTCCTGTGAAAGACCTGATTTAAAACCTTGACCCAAACATTTTCTTTAAGTTTCAACAAAATAATCTCCAGTAAAACAAACTTAACCACAAACAAATATAAGTTTTATGAAAATATAAGTCCAACACTTCTATTACACTGTTTTCATAGGATTTGTATGAATTTGAGTTGTTATCTGTGGTCACATGTTGCTCTCTGTGGAGTCCTGTTCTTAGATTAAAGTAGATTCAACTGTTTACTCAACTTGTTTGTGTTAGACAGTATTAGTATGTTTCTATGTTTCAGTCCTTCGAGCCACAGCAGTTTGAGCAGCACCATGCAGTGGTACAGGGCCTCAGAGACGCCCTGCTCTCTGCGATCAACCAGATCAAGTCTCTCAAGGAGGAGAACAAGTCTCTGAAAGACAAAATGGACCTGCAGGAAAACCAACGGAGGCAGGCGGAGAGCCAGCTCCAAGAGGAGCTCCGTCTGAAAGACAAACTCCTCAAAAGGAACATCAAGGAAAGGCAGGAATGCACCGAAGCCCACATTGACGTCCTGGCCCCGCTCGCTCAGAAAGAGGCTGAGCTGGAGAGCAGAGAGGCCAGGTGTGGAGCCCTGGAGGTGAACCTGCAGGAGCTGGTTCAGAGAGAGGAGGACTGGAGCAGGAGAGTGGAGGAGGCGGAGCTGGAGGAGACACTGGCTCAGAAGAAAAGGGAGGAGAAAACAAGAAAAGAACAAGAACAAAGATGATGAGAAGGTGGAGGAGGAGAGGAAGAAAGAGAAAGAACATCCCTACCCCTCCCCTCCCCACCCCCACTCTCCTTGTGCATTTACTACTTCTTGTAAAGATGTTAATACAGTTCTGTGTGAGTTCGTTACATCTGCCTGTGTTTGTCTTCCTGAATATAGATACAGGATTAGTTATCAAGAGTCAGAGTGTCACAGAGTTTGTTCTGCAGGAACAGATCAGATATGATGATGTTGTCTAATGATAATTACAACAGACACCTGAGAAAAATGGTTTCAAAATAAAGCAGGAAACAATATATAGAGTCCAGAAAGTCACTGAGAGGTGCGGCGCCAACATCAGAGATCAGAGTCTGTTCATCCCTCTGCATCCTTCGTCTTAGTTTTAACTGGTGTCATTTCTATACAGGTGCTGAATCAAATGTCAATTCAAATCAATGACACAGCAGCTGTGACTGAATCCACATGTGCCGAGTCCATCTCATCACTTAGACACGAGGTCCTGCTGCTGCCAGAAGGTGGAGCCGTTCTCCACCAAATAACTCAGACCCTCTGAGCAGCAGAGAGAAATCAACCTGTTCGCTCTCATATGTCACTGGAGAGTTAGGTCATCATAAAAACAAACCTGCTACAACACATACTGAGTGATGCGGCAATCCCAGCTCACGTTGGGCGAGGGCGGGCTGCACTCCGGACAGGTCGCCAGTCTATCACAGGGCTGACATATAGAGACGAACAACAGTCTTTGGATTGTGGGAGGACGACGGAGGACCCGGAGAGGAACATGCAAACTCCATGTGGGCCGGCAGGTTCAAACCCAGAAGCTTCTTGCTGTGAGGCGACAATGCTCACCACGGATCCACCGTGCATGCTTCAACCTTTTGCACAGATTTTTTCCAACATCAGTTCACACTCAGTATCCCATAATGACAAAGAAAAGACACAAAAACGAAAACAGAATCTTAGAAGTTTTAGCAAATTCATTGAAAAGGAAAAACTCTTAATCTCACTTACTTGAAATTTCCTCCTAATTCTCTTGATCGTCTTTGAGATGTTTCTACTCCTGTGGTGAATTCAGCATGACTGGACATGATTTGGAAAGACACACCCTCGTCTATAGCCTGTAAGATCTCACAGCTGAAAATGCACATCAGAGCAAAAACCAAGCCAATGAGGTGGAAGGAGCTGCCTGTAGAGCGCCGAGAGCAGGCAGGCTAATGTTCATCACTTTAAAGTGAAACTGCCTCACTCTGACACTCTCATCCACAGATGTTATAAGAAAACACCAGTGCATACTGAATCAAACACGGTAGATCAGGATGTAGCAGCTCTCACAGTATATGTGATGGTGAACGGAGGTGGTAGAGTTCTCTCACCTGGTCTGAGTAATTTAGCAGAAAACAGCTCCATCTTCTGGCTGCAGGACCTCGTGTCTAAACGATGGGGATGGATCCGGCTCATGTTTCACTTCACTCGCAGAGACATCAGATGAGATGTTTTAAATGGGATTCAGTCACAGCTGCTGATTTTGTGTCAAGGATTTGAGTGACAGCAGATGTTGTAGACTCAGGAACTAAAGAAGCCAAGACAGTCTGACAACCTGTCTTGGCTTTGTTGTTGTGATGGTGAGCTGTACTGTACAATGTGTGACCATGTTGAGACTCTCATATCCTTTCATGTCTTTGGCTACAACAACACACACGTGTAACTACAATGGCTCCTTCAGCGTTGCTCTAACTTTTCTCTTTCTTGCAGTTTAAGTTCAATAAATTCAGTCACAAGATTCCCTTGTGTATGTTCAATAATTCATATCACTACCATGGTAATGTATTATTACAATTATATTAAAAAATATAATGTAACAATGTAATGCCATATGCTTACTTTTAAAATGAAAAAATAATCAAGGGCCTGTGAAGAAATCAGAAAGCTCTACCGGACACGAGGAGCTGCACTCCCTCAGTCTTTTGGGATCGAATGCAATAACATGATCAAACGCCCAGGAGGATGAACAAATGGAGAGCTGAGATGTAACACTTGGACTAATGAAGTATCAATACCAGCATCCTGAAAATCAGGCTGAAGTGTGTCGAAATACTGTTTGATACAGTGTGAAGAAGCAATGCTGAACTGCAGTGTCAAATAAAAACAGAAAATGCCCAAATCCCCTTTTGTTCCATGTTGCTGGGGGACTATTATTGCTGGCGGATGGGCAGACTATTTGTTTTTTTTTAATGCTATTTTTGGGGGCATTTAATGCCTTTATTTGACAAGACAGTGTAGAGAGACAGAATCGCAGGGACAGAGGGAAGGGGAATGACATACAGCAAGAAGTCCAGACGGCCTGGAGTCGAACAGAGACTCAGAGGATGCTATGCACTTTAACCACTGGGCGATCAGGACACTCCGCTGATTATATTATTTTGACTGGGAAAGTTTCTGAAACAAGTAAGTGAAACATTGTTGCTAGGTAACTGATGTGATTGTCACAAATGACCAATGTTTTTCAATGTATTTATATTTCCATATTTATGCACTTTTGTCATACTGTTTTCATTTTCATATTTATTGTTGTAGTAATAGTAGAGACGGACCGCTGCTGCTTTCCACTGTGACTTAATATGCATTCAGTGCTTTTGCATTTTTGTTGTGGCTTCTGCCTTGAGTTGACCCGTCTGGGCCACCGTAGATAACACTTGCATGGGTCATTTCCTATGGCACTTAAAAAACATTTCATTTTAGTTTGGAGTTTGGATGACAGTTGAAAACAAGGTAATGGGAGTGAAATCAATGAGCTAAAAGAGGCTAAAAGGGTCTGCAGCGTGTCTCAGCTGCAGAGTTGGTGATGATTGTCGGTGGGTTTGTCACTATGAGTGACACCTTTCACATTACACATGTCATTTCATCCTTTGTTATTGTAAAGATATTGACTAGTGCAGCTTTAAAAACATGCAAGAACTCACAATGACTGAGTGGCAGGAAGAATTCAGAGGACAAACCCTGTCAAGTGTTTTTTTTTTTCTACATAAAGTACAGTATAAACTGAACAATGTCATACATCACACATGCTCCAGATAGACCAAGTGAATGGGACGTGTTGAGGCGGCTCTGCCAAAAGAATTGAATCATAT